ACACAAACATTGTTCTGGAGGATCTTCCAGGCCTGTCAACCTCTGAGAGTGAGACCGAAACAGAATGTAATCCATAGAAGGTCATCTTGATAATCCAAAGAAGGTCATCTGGATTATCCATAGAAGGTCATCTGGATTATGTAATCTGTTAAGATACTTGTATATTGATGAGGCACTCACAAATTGAACTTGATTTTTTTTTTTTTAAATACATCAATTTTGCCACTGACACAAGGATAATATTTAGCTCACCCAAGCCAAAAGCTCACTGTAGCTTTTTTCTGATTAAGGAATGTCCAGAGTCTGTCTGAGTGAACTTTTCACATATTCAACTTCTTGTCCAGAACTATTTAATTAATGAATATCTTGTTTCTTAGTGCTAGGTGGGGGGGGGCACAATAGGGGTCAATGATTTATATTAAAATTTAGGGGGATGTGTGTAGAAAGTTTCTACTCTGAAGAACAGCAGGGTCACAATCAAGTAGTGAAGGTAGACATTTTACCTGCCCTCTGACAAGGTTGGGGGTCACAGTAGGTATTAAAAATTACATGTAAATGGAAATATTTAGGGAAAAATTGGACAAGTAAGTGTCTTACAAGCATGACTGCAGGAACTACACTTAAGCCTTGGTAAATAGCAAAGTTTTATACAAATATAATTATACTAAATCATGAAGTCTACAATTTGTAAAGTTGACCTAGAGCATTTAGTACATTACAATGATTTATAATAATTATTGTTGAAATCTTTGATGCTAATTTGGTGACCACAAAAGGGGATTTCATACATTAGAGAAAACATGTACTTATTTATTAGGAAGAGCGTAATGACTCAGATGAGCATTATGGCCCATGGGCTTTTTTGTTTTGCTTTGTATCACATATGATAGAAAGGTATTTGTACATTTGATATTTATCATTTATAACTTTAATTACAGTAAAACCTGCAAATCTCATGGTATACTTTTGTTTTATAATCACATAATACATTTCACATATAATTGCAAAGGTTAGACAAATGAATTGAATTTTTAAAATAACTGTTAATTATGCATTTCTGAATCATACATCATATAATTCATATACTAAGGTCATTATCAAGTACTTTTAGGGTGCATTTTCTGAGAGAAAGTTGATTTTACACAGAATGAGAAGTCTTTCCACACAACATTATATAATTAAAAGGTAGATATGGCATCAGGAATTTGGGAAAAAAATGGACTGATAAAAATATTTGTATGCATAATATTAATCTTTGTAGTATCTGAATCACCTTTCCCGTCCAATACAAAATAATAGAACTAGAAATTTAGATATATTTTTTATTCACATTCACATATCAAGAACTCTGTCCACTTCTATATATTCATATTTTTATAGCTACTGACATTACGTGTTCAGTTCTTATTAGATGTAAAGAATTTGGTAATTTTCAAGTCAATTAATTTTTGCATATTTAGGACAACATTTATATATAATTATCTAATTTTTGCCTTTATAAATTGCTCAAAAACCCTTAAAATGTATTCCTATGATAAAATCATGTAAACTAACCTTCAATTTAAAATAGCTGTCGAAGGATTTATACTTGTGCATTTTGGTTCATTTGAGTTTAAAATAATATACATGCATAAGTTTCAAGTTTCTTAAAAGAAGTTACACAAAGTACAGTTTTACAATCAAACTTATCATAAAGGTTAACAGGCACTGCACATAAAAATTATTAGAGCATATTATTAACATTTATTTAAACTTAATTTGAAAAAGACATTTTTGTAAATGCAATGCATGCAAGTATCTGATAAAAAGAAAAATTGATGATAAAATTCCCAGATTCACACAGAGTATGTGTATTTTTATTTGTCTAACATTTACTAGACTAAGTATATTAATGTCAAAAAGTGTTCATTATGAACTACATGTAAGTGTTAGATATTTGTTCTGTTCCTTAAACATATTACCTACACAAAAACATGTGTAATGATTCATGTACTTATAGCATTTTAATTTGTGAGATTTTTTTCTATGTAAAAATAGGCTTAGTATCAATGTAAAATAGACTTCATACTTATTTCTTCGTAAAAATGTCTCTGATTGAAGTGCTGAATGATCCCATACTCTTGACTAGTAGTTCTTGTGTATTTGTAGCTCTGTTTACAATAATTTACTATTTAGTGAGTGCTATATAAGAGAATTTTCATCCTACAATGATTTTTGTACACCTCGATCAGATTTTTTTATAACAGAACGTTTTTGAATTCAGACAGATTTTCAGACAGTGTTTTTAGAACATTCTTTTGTCAATTAAGGTGCACATTGTGTTCAGAATAGAAAGGTTAGTTTAATTGTTTTTGTTGTGTTTATAGGGTTTTATTGTTTTATTATGATGTGGAAAAAGATTATCCTGTGAACTAATTGTTAATTTTTTGCTTCTACTAAAATATGTTTTAATAAGGAAAAAAATTGTTAGTGTAACTTTGTTAATTGTTAATGCTTAGAAAAAGTGCAATACTCAACATGTAAAACTAACTGATGTATCTTTATATGCTTAAAAAAATGGTGACATTTCAAAAAAAAATTCTCAAGAATATATTAGGATTCTGTCTGAGAATTATATGTATTTTTGCTTTATAAAACTTTATGACCAATCGGACTAAAATTAAACTTTATGACCAGAAAGATTTCTGTACTATGGATTTTGTACAGGGTAACAGTGATGTAATTTTTCCTGAAATAAGATTTTACCAAAAAAAAATTTCAACTTGGATATGAAGTACAAAAATTATTGGTGAATCTTTTGTTATTTTTTTCTGTCTTTAAATACTGTACATGTAAAACATTTTTTTGAGATATTTGATATTTTATTTATTTCATTGATAATATTTAAGAAATTTGATTCAGAAATTAATATATTTATGAAACAATGAAATTTAATATCCACAAAACCATTTTTGATCATTCATTAATGAATTTTTAACATAAGGCCATCTATAAAAAAATGTTTGGTTGCCCTCTCCCAACTAATTGTCTAAAATGACCCAACTCAAATTTTGTTTTTATCTCTATGGAAGATAGAATCTAAAGTTATACATGCTATAACTTGCATCAGTTTAAATGTGGTTGGAAAATTATGCATTTAGTTTACGAAAATACTGTAAATTAAATCAATAATAGTGAAAGTACTACAAAGATGTCAAATTATAATTATATATTATCCGGCAAGGAAAGTAATGCTTCTGTTTAAATAAATCCATGGCCTTACATCGTCGCTACTTTTAGATTGATAAACAAATATGGCATCAAGAAAACAAGGTAGGCTGTTTGGAATTCAACTAACTTTTGACATGGATAGCAAACGTCTTACTCTTAAAGATACTTATCTTTTAATTTAATGACTATCAACTATCTACTCTGTAATGACGTATTTTAACCTTTTATAAATAATTGTAGTCACAACCTCATTGTCTATGATTTCTCATGGACCTGCGTAAACATAAATACTGTTTACGCTCTTCCTTCATCAATATTCTTGAAAAGACTGAATTCTTAATTGCAGATATTGCTTCATTGTTTTGTTATTACGTTGACTTCTTTAGTAAAATTTTGTAGAAAGTATGAAATTTTTAATCATATCTTTTCACACCAAAATAAGCTCTTATATAATGTGAATATCTTTAAAAATTAACATTGAAATTTTTTGAGAATTTTTTTTATCACATACTTAACTAATGAATTCAGTCCGAGTTGGGAGGCGGAAACCAAATAAGTTTTCAAAGATGGCCTTATAAAGATTTCCAACAGTCTCTAACAGTAGTAGATTCCTAATTATAATTGACACAAAAATTGTAACTCATATTGTTTAAAAGTTTTTATTGATTTGTGCCATATCGAATTTAGTGATTAGAAATTATGTATGCATAAAATAAAATTTAAATTGTATTTGTTACCATGAAACATGACATAAAACATTTGAAAAGGACAGGGTATTCATACATAATGGATAAAAAAGTTTTTAGTTGTTGATTATTTTTCCTAAATTCTATTGAATTTGGTTATTTATATTGTTTTCTATTTAAAAAGCAATACTTTGTGTTATAATATGGAAAGCTATTTTCCCCCATTACATGTGTATTGTATTTTGAGTTGTTAAGTTTTCTTTTGTTATTGAGGTAGGAGGAACCATGATAATGTTGTATGAGTGTTATTTGTTGTCAGACATTCTATTTGGTGCTTGATTAATTCTTCACTGGCAATATAAAGATTTACATTAAATATATTAATATACAAGAAAAAAAAAGTGATAAATGATTATACTTATATACACAAAAAAATTAGTAAATTAATAAATGATTATTTTTGGAAGGGTAATCATGGAATAATTGAAATATTGTTGTTCAATTTATTTTCTACTTTGATAGAAATCCAGGATCTTTTTTGTTTCATAAAATCAGAATATCTTATTAAGTTGTTCAAAAAGTACATGATGATGTATGTCATAATTCCTTGTGCCATTTTCAGTGTGCAGGCATTTGTTTTGCTTATGTTGACATATAGACACTGCTTTCAGTGCTTTGTTTGCTTTTTCTGCTTAGTGCAATTTTGTATGTATTAAATATTGTACACCTATTATTAAATAAATGTTTAAATTAATGACGCTTCATATTTAGATACATTTTGTTTTTTAATCAGATTTGTTTTTCTTCTCGATATAGCAAGTGCTTCAACACACAGGGACCAGTAACATAGTATATTAATATTTATTACATATCTCTTGTCAAATGTACATGTTCTCAAATTCAATGTTTTGAAGGGGGCCTTATCAATAGATGTTACATGGTGTTACGTCTGTATGATTCTCCATAGGTGTTTACAAATTAAATTCATCAAGTTTTATTTGATACTATTTAGTTGAAATTTTCAAATTGTCTTTTTAAATTTGCATTAGTATTTTTCTAAGTACTTTGCACAATTACCATACTCGCTTTGGTTTTGTCGAAATGTAGCGCTGAAAAATGATGCTGCATGAAGAAATCATGTACTGGTATTGTTTTAAATTGTTATTATTGAAAAGAAAGTTCTTTTACAATTTTTGGGCAACAAGGTACCACTAGGAAAAATTTGTATCACATGAGATCAAACTCAGCTTCGATGAAGACATTGTTAGTGATATCCAATTCTTCAATTCTTATCTCTGTCCTTCCAAAGTATACTTTTGTCTTAAACTCCACGAGGTCGGGCCATCCCTTCTCTGGTGGTTGGTTTGTTATTTTCCCTACTGGTTTTATTCCCTGATCTGTGATAAATGTTAGCCTATCTCTCTTGATATCTTTTCCAGCATAGATTGCTGTTTGTAGTGGTATTTGCTTTCGATCTGCTTGCCTATGACTGCTCTTTAAAAGACAAATTTTTGGTTCATCGTATTTAACTTTTTCTCCTTCGTATACGAGAACAGAAAAGATGTCTTTGCAGACCACTTCACCATCTATAAAATCTCGTTTCTCTTCGGGATGCCTCGATTTATCAAATGCCCGATTCACCTCAATTCCATAGGTATAACGACATATACGGAATTCAACTTCCTCTGGGTTATACCCAAAGATGACTGCTCCTTGAAGAACTGCTAGACCCGGCTCTTTGGGACAACAGAAATTAATACCGGAGAAATCAGAATGAGATTTTATTTGTTCACATAGATATTTAGAACAGGAAAATCCTCCAACAAGAAGAATTTGATCTAAATGATTCACTTCTTCTAGAATTTCTTTTATCAGATTTATTATTTGAACCTTGGCTTCTTCAAAAAATTCCTTGAATTTTGAGTTTTCCACGTATATATGATCAAACGTAACCGAATCATTCAATGGTATTTTTCCATACTGTTGAAGTCTACGTGGTAGTTTTAACCGAATATTACCATCAGGAGCACTGCTGATTTGTCTTTTTTGCATTTCAAATTCCCTTTCCATATCAAAGGCATCTCTTGGAGCATTTTCCCACAACTCTTGTAGACATGATTCGCTATGGAAGACCGTCTTAATGTGTTTCTCGAATTCTCTGTCAACAGTTGTTCCTCCCCAGTCGCCACCAGAAGCCTTATAAACCTCTGCTAGTCTACCATCTTCTAAAACATCATGGACTACAACATCAGCTGTTCCCCCTTTTGAAAAGAAAAAAAATAATAGGAAAATGAAAGTAATTTTTTAAATCCTATATTTAAAAAAATGTAAATCTTTCGAAAAATATTGCTTAGGGATTCATTCTGCAAGTCACAGAATTGCGAAATAGTAACATTATATTCCAAAGATTTCTTGATTTACATTTACAGTAAACCATGTAAAAATGCAATAACCCCCAAGATCCAAGACCATGTATCTTTTCTTTGGTTTAAATGTTTCTGTAAGTGTCTGATCGGGTAGAGATTTACAGTACATCGCTGCAGCCTCTGGTTCTAATGCAATTAAAAGTTGAGCCTCAGGAATTCCAGCCTTTAAAAATAAAAATAAAATGAAAAATTAAAAAGTACTTTTCATGCATGTAATAAATCTATCGAAAAAATATTGATAAATAAATTATTTTAAACGTAAAAAATTGCCAAAATATCAATGAAATATTCGTCATCAAAATCTATTTATTTGTTATTACCTTCAAAGCAGCTGCTTTCATGAAAAGTTTTGCAGATTGTTTCCAAATAGCAGGCACTGTTATGACATATAAAATGTTGTTTTTATCAAATGCAAGAAACCTGTCTTTCACTGTGGATTCAAAGTGATCTTTCAGACCCTGAATGGCCCATCCGAAGATATCGAGCGCTGGAAGTGAAAGCCTTCCAGAGTCATCCATGATTTCTATACTGCGTTGAACATTCTGTAATTAAACAAAGCATGAACAAGTTGAGTTCTTATATATTTTAAATGTTAGGAAGAAATAGAGAAAGAAGAAAGAATATGCTTACTGCTTCCTCATAAAGAATCATTTTGAAGTTTCTGAATCGATACCAATAGTCGTTGTCCTTTTCGCAGACCCGCTGTGCATAAAAGTCCTCTGCCTCGTATCCAAAAGAATGAAAAGACCTATTTTTGTCAACAAGAACTGTAGTTGGTGCTTTGGCTTTCGGATCTGTGACCATGTTTCCGGTCCATTGATTCAGGGAGATCGATTTCGTGTTTATTTCCTTTTTATCACAATAAGCGTATCCAGAATTACTTGTTCCGATATCAAAAGCCACCACAATATCCCACAAATCTTGTGGAGACACTTCTGATACTTGAATTCCGAATTTCAAACTCTTCTGTTTTGGATTCATTTTTAAATTCACACCTGTAACGGAATGTTATGGTGAAGGTTAGGATATTACGCCTTAAATTTGATACGAGGAAGATCAATATTTGATATGGGTTATCAAATCGTATTAGGCCACTTTTAACGAGGCCCAATCTAGTTGGAAATTACGAAAACGATATGATAAAAAAATTTAATTCTTGGAAATAAATTTGTATGTATTATGCCAAGAAAAATTAGAGTGAAATTTTGTTACCTTGCCTTTATTGTAGTTAAATGGGGGCACTTTCAAGATATGGACCACTTTTCGTGTTTTATACACAATTACATACTAAACTCCCATAAAACAAAGTAATTGACAAATAAAAAAAAATATATGAATGATGAAATGTTTTGTTTTTCACATATATCATTCGATTTTCATTCCTCTTTTAAAAAATGAAAAGAAAATCGGAGGTAGCCTTTATTGCAGTGAAAAGGCAACATATCAAAACTCAAAAATAGGACTTATTTTATCCAACTACTAGAGATATTTCTATAAGACGCAATGGGTTTACATAACACCAACAACCGATTGTAATACTGTATTAGTTTCTAAAAATTAAATAATTCTAACATTATGAAATAATTTTCTCTCCATGCTTAAATTTTTTTTAACACACGACGTTGTTTTACGTGGGAAAAAAAGGGGGGGGGGTAAACGGCGACAAAATTACGAAATTTACTAATATCGTGTATTATACAGAAAAATAAAATCTTTTGGTGGTTGCATTTAAATGATTCAGAGACTTTTGTAAACTCAAGCTAATCCATGCATAATTAAGTTCGCAGTAAACAGGGATGTGCATAAACCCTTCAACATGTTCAAGGAGAAAGACTAAAATCTTTTACTTTTCAATTTGGTTGCAGTGTTTGTTTGTTTTTTCTAACTCACTAATTGAAATAAAACAAGATAAAATTAATGAACCTGTACCTAGAAAATATACCTCAAAATAAATTATGTTCTACAAGTGATTATTCATTTTAAAAAAACTCTGATGTAAATAATAGAAATGCCAGAATGAGCCAGCTTTCAATATGCACAGTTTATGGAGCTTCCAGGTATGGAAGACCAGCGAAACATTTTAGCGCAATTTGACGTCATTTTAATTGTGACGTTATTGTTTTCAATTGTGACGGCAGTCAAGGGTACTGTGACGTGCCTGAGTTGACGCTGCGTTAAAACGTATGCGCAGATCAAGTAGATTGGGCCTCGTTAAAAAAATTTTTGTTTGCCATCTCCCGACCGACTGACTAAAATAGCCCGACTCAAAACTTTCTTTTCACATTCCAGGACGCGATATATTTTCTGGTTATGCCCCTCATCCCATCAATGAATGCATGAAATCTCCTGCGAAAAGATTTTCATGCTTACCTTGACCCAATACTATGTTATGTTATAGATATAACAGAACGCTATGAATTGACGAGATAGAAACTTTGACCAAACAACAGGTTCGATAAAACATTTGCATTCCATCAAGTTAAATTTAGTTAACGCCCTAAAACGCTGGATTCTTTGATTGTATGTTGATTGAATGTATATTGTTTAACGTCCTCTCGAGAATTTTTCACTCATATGGAGACGCCACCACTGCAGATCTTGGCGAAAATGATTTTTTTTAAAAACACCACCTATCATTAAACGAAAACACTTATATATGAAATATGAGGAGGTTGTGAGAAGATAACGTACATTATTCAAGCTCAAAGTCCATTAAACAATATAAAATTGGAGCAGAGCAAACACGAACCTCCAAAACATCAGAGGTGGGATCAGATGCCATGGAGAAGTGAGCATTCCCTGCCGACCGGTCTTACCCGTCGTGTACGTGCTGCTTGTCATGATCGCAAATAAGGGAAAAAATACTTCGACGATTCAGTAAGTATATATTGGCCTAACAATCAGTATAAAAACGTCAATCAGTTTTTGCCAAGTAATAAAACAGCATCGAATCGCAACATTCTAACAAAATGAAATGCACGGATCCTGGGTCATTCCTCGGAATAATTGAATCAGAACTGGCCTCATTTGGTCTTACTGTGTACCAGATGCATATATTTTTTTAAAGGGCTTATCTCCTACCATATATAAATGAAGCACATGTTCGTGTTTTGATGAGTTAAGGTAGTTCTTTCATGAATGTAAAATATTTGTTCCCTGGCTCAGGAGCTTTAGTGTTAATGCGGGGCTCTTGATTTGTTGTTAAATTCCCTCTGTCTTCTGGAGAATTTTTAAGTCTTACGCAGACCCCTCCACTTATTTGTGGAGGGATAAAAAATTGGCCTATAATTAATGGCCATTGAGCAGAGAGATCGCGTAAGGAACAACTCTTTACTCTGCGTTTCTAGAGCAGACGCTCTTACCACTGCGCCACTCGGGCGACGGCTGTATTGATGGCATAGTAAAAATGAATTAAATTTGAATATCTTTTTCTCTGATCAATATCAGTAAGTATTATGCCTCATATTGAAAATGTTCATACTCGGAGCAAACCCTTGAGTCGCGAATTCGAATAAGTTAGGAAACATAAACACAATCAGCAGGTGATATCTGATAATTTATAATTTTAAAAATCAGAGAACAAATGACGATGGAAGTCACTCGTTTGTCATACACTTTAGTTGTTAATTGATCTTTATCGTCTTGAGATTGTAAAACATCCAAAAAGGAAACAATGTTGCAAATTTGGTGGTGTTTTTTTTATTACGTTTACTTTCTCATTTCAAGTGAATGAAAATAACTTGTTACTAGTAATTGACGAAACGTTGTCAAGGTATCTGAATGTCGAATTGCAGGCAACAATAAGTGCATGTTTTCATGCATATTCTCATATCCAAGTTCTTTTTTAAAATTTGTTTCATAGGAATATAAAAACAAGTCAGCTGATAAAGGAGCACAATAAGTGCCCATCAACATTCCAACAGTTTGTTGAGAGACCTGGTCTCCAAAAACTATAACATAAATATCAAAAAGGAACTCCAGCATCCTTTTAATGTCAACTTCAGCGTATTTGTGTGTACAAATTAGAGTGGTTTTCATGGAGACCAATCACAACAATGCACACATGCAAGATAATAATAAATAAGGTGCATGTTGACATAAATATCTCGAATGTTGACGTTATTAGCTTGCAAATCGACTAAAATAAGTCGAATGTCTACATAATACTGCTGCATGCATTTTAACATTAAGTCGCATGTGACATGATTATCTTGCATGTTAACATAAATAAGTCGATTGTCAACAAAGTTATGTTGCCTCGTGCATGCATGATGTCAGATACTGGTGTTAGTAAGTAAACCTCTTTAACCACATAAAAATACTATTCTCTAATATGATTGGTAGCTTGCGTGTTACATAATCATCTTGTATGTTAACATTATTATCTTGCATGTTGACATATCTTTCTTGCATGTTGACATTATTTATCTTGCATGTATAGGGGGCACAAATGTGCCACCATACATGTAGTATTATAAACGGGGTTTTGACACACATACCTATTTTGAGGATGTCACTTGGCAAAATTCCAGTGATCTTTTATTTCAAAGATCTGGAGGTTTATAACTAAAATGATAAACTTTAATAGTTATTCATAGACTCTGTATACGAAAATCTGGAATCAAAACAACTTTTTTCTGGTCGAATTTTAAGACAATCTTGCATGAGTTTAATGCATTTTCTTCACGAAATGTCGAATAGGCAAAAGAATTTTGTGTTAATCAATTACTTATGTTGTAAAGAAAATACTGCTTGTTAAAATCGATTTATGTTTTCTATATCTTAAGGACGCGATTGCACGGCGTCATGTGATCACGTCATATGGTGAGTAAAAAAAGAATGTTTGCTGTACTATTTCCGGAATAAGGAGCGTCATATGTTTGCGGTTGACAAAACGGGTTTATTTTTCTAAAGTAGAGAAAGTATAAGATATTAATAGTGAGCGTTGATCATATTTTTTATCTACGTGCATGTTTTACGATTTGACACGTCTATCTATTGTATATCTCTGAACATTGAAATCTATTTCATTCAAAATGAATTAGATTTATATCTTGAGGTTTATATCTTCATTTTAAAATTAGAATTTTATTTAAGATTGTTGTTTATCATAGGATCTACATCTATGTAATACATAGATAATTTCCAATAAGAGATTCAGACGGCGTGATTAACTAGATACATGTATAAATATTGATGAACGAAGGCGATTTTGATAAACGTGTTACGGCGAAGACCACAAGTTTATGCCTAGAAGACATATCTTTTTAAAAAAAATATCGCAGAGGATTTTGTTTTCTCCTATAAGATCTTTAGCATTTTCAGCAGTAACATCTACCGCGTAAACATTCAATCATCGTCGCAGTCGCACATATATTGTAAACGATTGTTGTAAAGTGTTTTATGTGTCGTATTGAAACACAACACACTTCTTCTGAAAGAATACCAGGGAAGATATGTACATAAATAAATAAAAGAAACATGTGAACTCATCATACTTATGAGAATACATTTGAAATTATGAGAATACATTTGAAATTTTTTTTTTAATCACATGGACATGAACATAGATGTTTCATTCCAGCATATGTCATAAAGCGACGGAAAGTTATTTCAATCAATGATTATTTTTTAATCAAAACAGTAGATCTATAGTTTTGACGTCAATTGTATCATTATGACGTCACAATGGAGATAGCCCTCATCCATGTACAGGAGAAAATGAAGTGTACTTACTTGAAAAGAATCGGAAGGAAAACTATTTGTAAATGTGAATATTTAGAATAATCAGAATTACTATAATTTGGCCAATAAGATTATTTATGGATGAATACATTTATTTCAAAATATATATATATATATATAATGCAGTTACAAGTTTTAGAAAATAACCTCTATTCATTCAATGTGTTTAAATGTCTGACCCCCCCCCCCCCCCCCCCCCCGATTCCAGGTCACTAAGAAGAAACATCGCTGAGTGTTCAAAG